AGGAAATGGGAGAACAAAAATAGTGGGGCATTGTTGCATTGATAACTTCAAAGCATTCTATTGTGCTTCCAAGCATTCCTTTCCTGAGTGTGCTTTTCTTTTCTTTTTTTACCTCTTATTATATTATTATTATTATTGTTATTATGATATCTTGTTGTCTATATGCTTTGTTCTTTGTTTATGGTCCTACTCATTAATTTTTGTTTGGATCATCATAGTATGAACCAGTTGAAATCAATAATGAGGAACATGATGACAAACCGGAGGGTGCAACAGATTTCAGTAATAAATTAATATTTATTTTGCTAGTTTGAAGAATTTATCTCTGATATATGCCCCATTTTGAAAGGGCAAAAATTTGATTGTATTGTTTTCTTGAATTGATATCTACTGAGGCATGTATGTTCTCTCTAGATGGAGAAATTTTAGCTGGAAGGCAACTTCCTCCTGTATGCCATCCTGAACTTCATGGTGATATAGCCTTCCATTCCCTTTATATGTTGCAAATTGATGAGAATTTATTTTATTAGTTTGCTAAATACATTATTAGGCTTTTCTAATTATATAGTTGCATTGTTAGTGCCTCTAAGAAGGCTGGAATTGATCTTCACAAGTAATTAATGTGCCTCTAATTATATACTTCATTTTATTATTTATTGTTTCTACATAATTAATGTGTTCTTGCATTAAAAACATTTTTTTTTACCTTTTAACAAGTTTAGGTGGTGCTCTCCATACTCGAACTGTCCGTAATCTGTCTTATGAGTATATATTTATTTGATGAACGTGAAGTTTTTTGAATGTGGGTGCTTGCAGGTGGTGGTGAGAGTTTTGAACTTGGATTGTGATTGTTGTGCTAACTTTTTGCTGACTTTATTATTGGCAATGATTATAATTTGTTAACTTTTTATTTTATTTTGGGGTTAGTTTCTCTATTTTTTGATGACTGATTCCAGTGTTTTTTTTGTAGTAGCATTGGCCAGCTTGTTCCTTGAAATAAGCATTGGCCCATGAATGAGTTATCCAATATTTTGATGGTTTTATTAACATTTTTTTGGGGTATGGTTTGTGGTTAAATATAAATAGGTAGGAAATGTTACAATTTTTTTATATTGTTTGTCAAATGTAAAATTGTAGCCACCTGGAAGAGGAATTAAATTTGTTTGGTTTATTTTTGGTTTATTTTCATTTATGTGCTTCTGCATAGAATCGTTGCCTTTCAGAGTTTACCTTATTTAGCTAATAATGCAATTTGACAATTGAATACTTATTTTGCAGATTTTTTTTTTTTTTTTTTTTGAGAAGCATTATTTTGCAGATTTAGTGCAATGAAATTTATTTATATTTTTTTCTTTCTATAAATAGCAGTGCAAAATTTTTTTTTTGTAAAAAAAAGGAGAAAAAATGGCGTTTTTGAAAAAACGTCACTAACTGTCGTCATATGACGTCAGCATTTAACTGTGACAGTTTTTAGATAACGGATGTTTGAGAATTTACGGCGTTTTAAAAAAATGCCAGCTAAAGTCATTAGCGACGTTTAATAAACGTCATATACCTAAGACGGCAGCCGTATCTGCGACGAAAGTTATAAACGTCACTTTAGCCTTTAACAGCGTTTTTAAGGCTTATAGTGGCGTTTTTTAAACGTCGCGAATTCTGAAAATTCCTGCAGTGGGAGGAGTGAATCTGGTGAATCCAGTTTCCCTTCTCTCATTTATGCTATATGTGCATGTGGATCTAACAAAATGCAAGCTGATGGAGCTGTAGCTTCACCATCTTGGATTGCAGCTGGACTAAGTTCTGGAATTTGCAGGTTAATTGATGTGAGGAGTGGAAATATTATTTCCTCGTGGCGGGCACATGATGCATATGTAACTAAGGTAATTTAAATTGCTAAATGTAAAATGCTATTTAATGAAGTGTATTTTCATTTATCTTCCCATGCCTGCAGTTAGCTGCAACAGACGAACATTTGCTCATCTCTAGCTCTCTTGACAGGACTTTACGAGTTTGGGACTTGAGAAGGTAATTGGGCATCTTCTTTCATTTACTTGAAAAACATGCAAAGTTAACCCGAGTGAGCAAGATTCCTTCCAAGCAAGATTAAGACAAACCTGATCAATTACTTGTAATGATATAAGTCAAATCATATTTTGGGCTGCACTTATGGAGTTTGGTTACCCCTTTACCAGGGGGATTCTTGTTCTTATTTTTGTCTGTGAAGGAAAAAGTAGAACCTTTCAAGTTTCATGTACAACCCTGCCATTCTATAAACTTCCCTGATAACATGGCAATGCAAGTATTGTTGACTAGAAAGCACTGAGCCTTGAGCTCCTAAAAGAAAGTTATTTACTCTTGAGTCTTGACAGTCACTTAGTTTTAAATAACTATGGAAAGGATCACCACCAGATTTTAACCTGGATGATAAACTCCTACCAGCCCAAAAAGCGAGGTGTAGGGTTCAGGTCCCAGTTGGCACATGAGAGTGTGTCTCAGCAATAGAAAATCAAAAAGATGTTACAAAAAGGATCTATTGTACTGTATAGTTTCTCACATCCCCCACTGTACCCCAAATGTGCAGGTATCCCCGCTTTTTCCATGTTCAGTTGTGGTTGGGAGCAGCCACTTGGGAAATGTTTCTCATCCTGCCAAAAAATCTCACAAAGGCGATGAGAAGGGAATTTGGAAGCATTTGGACAGGAAAATAATGAGAAACTTTCGAATTCAAATATATGCCCATACATATTGATTAATTTGCATGTAATTATCTATCTATACAAAGATATTTTGTGGTTTGTGGGCAGGTGGCCTTGTTTGCCATTGTTTATTTATTTTTACTTTTAGGGGGAAGGCGATTGGGAGGAGGCTGCTTTGAGAGGAAAATTTAAATGATAATTTTTCTCCAAAATAACTATGTCATTCCTACTCAAAATTTCTCTCTTTGTCCAAGGGAATTGGAAAAGGGAACTGTTCTAGTTAAGTTAAATAGAAGTTTGTTTGTTTGTTTGTTTTTTTTTTTTTTTTTTTAACTAAGTTAAACAGAAGTATGACATTAGATATTTCGTGTCTAATTTGTTGTTTCTGTGGACATTTTCTTGTAGGAATTTACCGTCACATACTATTGTTTTGAGAGGTCATAGTGATACTGTATCTAGTTTTTCTATGTGGGGACAAGATGTGACTTCAATCGCCAAAAATAAGATTGGTCTTTCTTCTTTAGCTAGTTTGCAGATGAAGTACGCATACCAAAATGTTTTTCTTCTTCTTCCTTTTTTTCTTTTCACCTCTACCCCCACACCACCACCATGTTTGCTCAATATATTCTACTTGCATGGCAATTGTAATTTTTTTTTCTTTCCATTTTCACCTCTACCCCCACATCACCACCATATTTGCTCAATACATTAGAAGAGCCTTCCAACTCATGTTATGATATAGATCCCTAAATATGACTCAACAAGTCATCATCGCTTCTCTAGTTTTTTTTAAGGAGATATATGCCCTTTATAGAGTTTTACATCACCTTGATTTGGAAGATCCAAAATCAAATATAGTGGTATTCGCAACTAAAAATTACTTGCATGACAGTTACAAAATTAACTTTGACAGCTAATCAAGCAATGATTGTTCTGATTATAGGATGTTGGGTTTCTGAATCGTATTATTTCATCGTCTGTTAACTACATTTCATCCATTCATCACCCACAAAAGAACATCATTTGTGGGAAATGGATCTTCTAGTTCAATTTTGTTCTCAAGTATTCATAGTCAATTGGATGGCTAAGAGTTGGTTGACCTCATGTATGTTTCTCCCGTCTTGGTCTAGTTTAATGTTTTTGACAAAATAGTTTTGTTATGTATCCATTTGAGAAGTTGTGATTAGTTTTTCATATCATTCGTTTGTTCATAGTACACATCCCACCAAAAAAAAAAAAAAAAATCAATTGTTCATCATTCCTTCTTCCTTGCTCCCTCTTGTTTGAAAAAAGTAAAAGAAAAATACAAAGGAAACAAAAAAAGAAAAGCTGAGTCAAATTTGTGTGTCATTGTTTCAATCCATTTGTTATCGTAACTTGTATAATTACCTCTGAAAATGGCATGTGGCAAGATGGGGAACATCGTATCACACCTCAATATCTCTATTTGGTAGATCGTGGAGTACGGAATATGTCGGTGTTTTCAAGTTTAAGTATTTTGCTGTTCTCACAACTGTTCCTTGTTGGAACGGAAGATGGCCATTTGAAAAAATGTTGTTAGATTGCCTTTGATGTCTACATGTAGTTTTCTTTTGTCATTTTGGAGATAGGTTTTTCCAAGGATTCTCCGGGTGGCTTCTTTCATTTTGTTTTGTATTATTTTGTCATTCATATATGCTTATCATTTGTTATGTCATGTTGTTATTAATGTAAAAATGCCTGATCAAGAATTGCAAGTTTTAAAATCCCAAAGGAGGCTTGTTGATGTGCATCTATTCTAAGATTTTGCTTTGAATTATAGTTTACCAAGGGACAGATGAGATGTTAGGGTTTCAGAAAGCTAATTTTGTTTTGTCAATTAGGATATCTAATGAGGACTGAATCTGATAGTCTCTCAATTTGAACCTTGTGTGTTACATGGTTGAATTTTACCCAGGACATTCAAGTACTTGAATATTTGCCAGTCCAATGCCATTGAAGCAAAGCTATTGAACTTCTAGCAACAGATATATTGACTATTTTAATTGAATTTTAAAGATATTTCTATATGAAAATATTGATTTCTAAGGAAGAATTATAAATGAATAGACACGTTATTTAATTTTCTATATTCCAGCAAAAATGTAAATTGAAGTCACTGAAATTAAAATAATCCTACATTCATCCTGGATACCAGAAATGGTTAAAACATAAATCCCTAAATGGTTGTCGATGAAAGATCGTGAATAATGAAATAGTAGCATATTTCATTTGGCTTCCTATCCTTTGCAAGTTTAGAGCAATGACTTGCTCTTGCCATAAAAATTTACCAAAACAGCCACCCACAACTTACAAATTTTTTTCGCAATGAGAAAAAGTTCAGTACAAGAGTGATACCAAGTCAATCACTAATACATCGTATTATAATTCAAAAATCCATCACAAGAAATACTAAACCCCCACTATTCAATCAGCAGCAAGACTTTCAAGCAAAAGGATTATTTAAAAGAGGGTACAAAAAACAAACATAAAAAAAAGCTATCACACAATCCAGGACCCCCAACTGATACTGTTTCCTGGACCTGTCAGCAGAATTGCTACGACCATATAATTGTATCTTTCATGTATTGTATGTTGGCCTCGGCTCTCTACTATGAAGATGATCCATTAGATTTTGGCCTAGTATACCCCAGGTCAATTAACTTCTCCACCAGCTTTTTCTCAGCATCAGCCTGAAAACCCCAATAAGAGGAGGGGAAAATATAGATCAAACAACCAGGAACAGGAAGACTCGTGCTAAATCATTCATACATGCAAATGATTTTGTTGGGTATATAATGCCCCTCCCTACGATCGCTCTAAAAACAGGCTTGTGGATGCAAGGTCAAATGCCATAAAAGACATGAGTAAAGCCCTCCCTAACATCAATTGATTTTAGGAGAGATTGCGAAACTTGGTACATTATTCAAATAGGCAACGCATAATTCCAAGTCAAATGGTTTATAACTAAACACCACCATGTAAAACCCAAATATCTATGAAATTGAAAATTAAGCTTAAGTACGCAGTGCATACAGTCATAGTGCTTGCTAATGGTGTAGGGGAAGAGAGAGAGATTAAACCTCAAGCATGGGGCTGTTATTTGGAATGTTACAAGCTAGTATCACATTTAGACCTGTCTTCAAAACTGTAACAAAGATCACAAGTAAGTGCATAAAAGTAAAGAATATTTGTATGAAAATTGTTAATTGTAAATCAAAGTTCACCTAATCGACGAGCAATGCCAGATCCTGTGTTATCAGAAGATCCTCCAAGTATGTTAGTAACACTCACAGTATTGTTCTGTACATGACCACCAAATAGTAAGATATGTTGATAACAATTACTTAATCTATGATCATAATGAAGATGGTGGTCTGATGAAACCAATCAAGAAAGAGACCAAAATGATGAAACCAATCAAGAAAGAGATTTCATTAGAGAGAGAAAATCCCAAAATGGGTACAAGAGCTCTCAAGCTCTAAATTATTCAATATCAAAATATCATAAAACTGAATACTAGAGGAGCCTAATCTTATATTTATAGGATAAAAACATAACAACCATACTAACTCTAACTAACTCTTATTGTGCTAAACATGACAACCATACCAGCTCTAACTACATCAGACTTCCCCTCTAAAGAAAACAACTTGTCCTCAAGTTGGGGCTACAACAAAATGACTCAAGACAACAAAATCAACAAAATGACTCAAAACAATGACTTATGAGAATATGATTGACATGCAACGGCGACCAAGACTAAGTAGTTGCAAATCCTTATTCAAGGTCAACCTAGCAAACGTCCTTCCATCAAAATGAGTTCTCGTTTATGGATCAACTGAAGCCATGTTGAGGTGTGAATAGACCACCCATGTAGCATGCCATTTTGGAAGCAAGATGTTATCCAAATAATGCTTCTCGCATGGCCCAAGAATAAACTCATCTACACCAACACGAAGTGGAATAAATGGCTTTGAAGATAGCATAAGAGGCATTTCTTGGAAGCAACGTTCATTCAACAACCATGTAACTTCAGTGTCGTGACTCTCCACCATAATTTTCATAGAATATAGAAAAGGGATAGAAGGTTGGATTAAAACCACTTCCTTCATGGTAAGCAATATTTCATTCTCATGTTCTTCATCCTCATGTACACTTTCATGCTCTACAAGAGGGTCGTCCTCATCATCATAGTTGTCAAAAATTGCAACTCCTTCGTACTCACAAGCATCAACTTCTTCATATTCACAAACGTCAACTTCCTCATAATCCAACACCTCACTATCGTCATCAAAGATGGCAACATCTTGATCATGGTTTGGTTCATCGTCTTGATCAAAGACAGGAAAATTTTCGTCACAAACACAGAGAGCTTGACTACAATCTTGTTCTTGGCCACAATTTTCCTCCATGTCTTCTTCACTAAAGATAGAAGCTTCTTCCTCATCATATCTTGGTTCAACCACCTCGCCACTAAAGAGCATCTTAAGATGATATCCCTCATCAAAAGTCTCTTGCACTCCAACACTAGTTGAGCAACCGACTTGGAAATAATCATAGGACAGTTGTCCGATTGCAAAGCCTCTTTCGCATTGATGGCCGGAACTTGAAATGCCCTTCTTATGTTGCTTCTCAACCAACAAAGATGGCACGTGATTAGAAGGCAAGAAGTGCTCCTTGAACTTCTTCCTCATCTTCCTTCATTCTCTAATGTTTTCTTGGCCGTTTCGTTGCCTACCAACTTGTAATTGTTTCCACCAATTGGAGGCACGACCTTTGAGGCTTTGAGAGACCAACTTCACCTTCTTTGCTTCCGGCACATCATAACACTGGAAATGACTCTCAATTGTCTTCAACCATTCCTCGAACACATCCGGATTGTAGCTTCCACGGAATTCGGGAAACTCTAAATCCTTGACGGTACCATTCCACTCAGAATTCAACCCGTGTGAATATGTTCTATGCCTATGTGGAGAACCAAAGAAATCATCAAGCTGATGATCCTTAGAACCATGGGTTGGTTTGCGATGTTCTAAAAAAGTGCACTTTTTGACTTATTGGCTTATATGGGTTGGGTTTGATGTGATGTGTTAGAGAGATGATGTGATTTAAATAAGATGATGTGACTTAAATAGGATAGTGACTTTTTGACTTTTTGTATTATTTAGTAGATGCCAAACTTGGCCCATTACTACCTTTGGAATGAAGTTGCAAGCGTTGCACCTTTCTAAACCAAGGTAGCTATTTGTGAACTCAACTCTTCAATCTCATTCCGTTGATTTTGGTATCCAATGTTCCTTTCAATTGAAGGACTCATTTCGATTTCGTCTTCCAAATTTGCAGCAAACACCTGACCACGGCCACCCATTTTACCTCTACCCCATTGAGCCATCAACTTCTAACAAAGACTTGATCAAACACTGTTCACAGCACTGTTACAGCAGGATTTACCACTCAAACAGTAGCTGATATACACTCACAAGTTCCAATCAAACCAAACTCGATTTCACAATCAAAGAGCAACCCAATATCAATCCAATTCAAGATTAACTCCCAACAGTATCAAGAAACAAGAATCAAGATTCAAGAACCAAGAACCGAGATTGCAATACGATGTCAAGAACTAAGAATCAAGATCAAGAATTGTGTCCCACAATATCAATTCATGCAAATATGATCAATTCATAAAAATTGATTCAGAACAGTCCTAATGAAAGAAGAAAGTCGAATCAGTTTACCATGATCAAGCCGAAAGCAAATAGCAGAGATCGCGACCTTGTAACAGCCATGCAACGGCGACCAAGACTAAGTAGTTGCAAATCCTTACAAACACAGTTGATGAGTTCGAAATGATCAACTCCGTGCGCAACTCAGATTCAAGGCTTCGCAGGAGATCGCAAAAATCAGCTAGTTCGTAAGGCTGATCTGATGATTGTGACACTAGAATCTACCTAGAGTCGAAGGTCAAACTGCAACTAAACTTGGATTCAAAATTGTGGACAATGCCTGTACCCCATTTGAAGTCTAGATTCATAACAACGAACCTTAATTTGAACCACAAATGCAAGAACGAATTCAAGAATGAAGATCTTTATCAAGGAGTTAGATCACAAATTGAGGGTTTCAATTTGTCAAGAAATCAGATCATGAGCACAGATCGATTGAAGGTTCTCGGACAGAATTTTGTTTTCAACTCAGCAAAGTTGACAAACCAGGCCAGAACAGAAGTTGATTTACCAGAACAGAGGTCAATCTAGGGTTACGATGTGAACCCAGTTGCTGTTAACCAGAAACAAACAGGAATCCTTCTTCATCCAGTTGAAATTGATGATCAATGGGCAAGAACCAGGTTAGATTGTCAGGCTCTGATACCAAAATGATGAAACCAATCAAGAAAGAGACTAAAATGATGGAACCAATCAAGAAAGAGATTTCATTAGAGAGAGAAAATCCCAAAATGGGTACAAGAGCTCTCAAGCTCTGAAATATTCAATATCAAAATATCATAAAACTGAATACTAGAGGAGCCTAATCTTATATTTATAGGATAAAGACTCAACTAACTCTAACTAACTCTTATGGTGCTAAACATAACAACCATACTAACCCTAACTAACTCCTATGGTGCTAAACATAACAACCACATTAGTTCTAACTACATGATCTCATGCCATTATGCAAGGACGGGAAGGCCATCAATGTAGGTGCTTTTATCCCTCATAATTCCTTCTTTGCTACCATTAAAATTTGTAAATAAGCAAATTGTGATTTTTGTCACAAAAATAGGTAGTTTTTGAAATGAATAATAGGGAAACTTCCCTAAATAAAACAACCATGAAATTCAGAAAAGATGGAAGCTTTCGTGAATATATAAATTGTTAACTTACAGGTCGGGTAGGTGCAGCGGCATATAAACGTCCAAATTTGGCAGAATTGCAACCAATCCATGCATAGATCTATAGAAATAAAAGAAAACAATTGTCATTAATCTAAATGATTCTTGATTTTTTGATTTTACAAACTCTAATCCAGTATCAATTTTAATTAATCCATTTGGTGATATAACCATACATACAATCCAATTATGTCAAGGCATGATCTATGCAGCCTTACATGGCATATAAAAACTGTATAATATCGAAATAATCACATAACCTTGCATATTATTTTTCTTTTCCCTTTTATTTATTTTTTTTCTTGATAAGTAGCACTAATTTGTTTGTCCACATGGAAACACTCCATGTCAATTAGAAAAAACAAAAACAAAGCAACGCTCCTTAACAACAACAACAACAAAAAAAAAAAAAAGCCCAGACTTGTGCTAAAACAACTATCCCTATTCAACTATTACAATTAGTCGAGAATAGAAAGCATTTTCATGTATCACAAAGTCAACTGAGTATCAGCATTACATACATACAAACATATTCCAATTTTGTATTCCCGGCTGACTTTGAAAATTATGGTTTCTCACCTATAGCTAAAATAAATAAATAAAAAATCCAATTTATCCCCTCTTAAATTTCATATATGCCCTTAAATCTTCTATAACTCCCATTTTCTTTTTCATTTTTCAATAAAATCCTACAATATGACCCCCTTTAAATGTTTATTTTGCTGAAAAATTACTTACACAATTTCACATCTCTCCCATCGATGATAATATTTGTAAGCACCATAGGAATAATTAATACTAACTATTTCAATTACAAAATTGCGAACATAAAGAGTGACAAAACCTAACCTGTTTGTGAAGACGTATGATCTGAAAATGAAGGGTAACATCCTCCAACACCTCAGTGAAGCACGTGACCTGCACACCACCACCATCACCATTGTTGGAGTTGATAACCTCGAAGCTTCCATCTGAAGATGTTCCCCCTCCTCTGATTCCCAAACCACCTACTCCTTCCACCACCACATCAACCGACACTTCTTCTACTCCCGCCGCAGACCCACAACTATGCTTCATCGACTCAACATCCAACCTTCCACTCCCCATTTTCACACACGCTTCACGGAATTCGGAGCTTTTAATTGAGATGTTTTTAATGCATAAACTTGAATTTCACTGAGTTGGGATGAATTGTGCTAGGGTTTTGCGATTATGTCCTCGTTGCAGAGTATAGAGAGGCCCATGTATTTAGGGTGGCTTATTGGAAAAGAAATGTTTCCTGCAAAAAATTGTTTTTTTTTAAATGATATTAACATTTTTTTTATTATAATACTAACAAGAGTAAGAGCATCTCTAACGGTTCATCTTTTTTTTTTATAATCAAATTTGAGTAAAAACTTTATTTGATATCAGTGAAATGGCCTCGAAGAATATTATTGTTGAACTTAATAATGGAGATAAATTGGATGGAAACAACTATGATATCTGGCACAGGAAGGTTCAGTACCTTCTCAATGAGCAAGAGTTGCTCGACCATTTGACTAACATCATGGCCATTCCTAAGGCAGGGAACACAGCACAACATCGTCGTGACCACGATGCCTATGCAAATGGGTTTAAGAGGGATAGGAGTGTGCGCTTTACCTTGTTGAGCTGCATGCATGATGACCTCATTGGGGAATTTGAGAAATTCTCAACTGCCAAAGAAATGTGGGATCAATTGCGCTTGAAGTATGGAGGCACGACAGCAGCTAGGCTGCGTGCCCTTACATTGAAGTTCAATCAATATGTGATGGACCCAAAACATACTATGGCTGAGCACCTTAAGGTGATGTCTGCCATAATTAAAGAGATGAAGGCAGCTGACAATGATCTCACTGATGAGCAACAGATTTTGTCAGTCATCAGATCCCTACTTGACCCTTCGTGGGGACATGTGAAATTGGTGCTCACGCACAATGAGGGAATCAAAACTTTTGATGACATTTCTCGACACCTTGAGCTCGAGGCAGATGGCAAAGATGCAAACTGCTCTGCTACACTTGTCACTAAAGCTAGAAGGCACAGGAGATACAAGCCTCAGCGCAAATGACAACAGAAAGGAGAAGACAAGCAAAGGCTGAGAATCTAGCGCCAAGAGATGGCAGAGTAACCAAGCGTCACAGTGGCAAGCGTGCTAGAAAGAATGATAGGTCCAAACTCAAATGCTATAACTGTGGATAGAAGGGTCACTTCGCTCAAGATTGTACTGAGATGAAGAAGGTACACCTTATTACCAGCTCTCTAAATATATTTGTCTGTTCACATGTTTTTATTGATCACTCTCTCCTTGGTTGGATTGTAGACACGGGAGCAACCAAACATGTAGCTAGAGATCAGGCTGGATTTGTAGATTATCATCAGATACCAGTTGGTAGGAATTATGTAATAATGGGAAATGGAGCTCAAGAAGAAGTCTCAGGAGTTGGTAGCTTTCAGCTCAAGTTGCGTACTGGGCGCAGCTTGCTCCTTCATGATGGGCTTTATGCACCAACTATCCGATGTAATCTGCTTTCAGTTTTAGCACTTTTGAAGTTAGATTTTTCTTTTCATTTTGAGGACATTAGTTTGTCAATTTATCTTGGTAGAACATTTTATGGTCATGGTACTTTGAGGGATGATTTCTTTATGTTAGATTCAGAATCAGAATCGAATAATAATTCTCTTATTTGTGTTGCATCTTCTTCTTCTTCTCACTGCTACAAAATCATAAATAGATCACGGATTTTAAGTGTGATGTATGTTATTTAATCATAGATTTTTTATTTTGTCAAAGTGTGATCTTTGAGAGTGTGATTGTTCAAGGTCATTTGCGATCATACTTTTTGACCGTCATTAAAAGATAATTTCATCACATGTTTTGACCGTGATAATAAACATTTAGATCACGAATTTTAAGCGTGATCAATAACTAATAAAACCTGAGATTGAATTTAAATAATCCACGATTAATAGTGAGATAAGATCACAGTTATATGCATTTCTCATCACAATTAGTACATGTGATAAAAAAAAAAAAGTTCGACCACAAAATGTGACTATCAATCACAACATATCAACCGTGATTAAAATCCAAACAAAACTAATATCTAAAATATAATCAATATTATTTGTACAAAAATTTCCTTTGAATCACAACATTGACCACATATGAATAGCTAATAGCATCATATATTTCATAAATGAAAGTCTAATGTTGGAAAAATATATACAAAGAAAGTTCAGGAATAAAAGGTTTTTAAATGTGATTACACGATAAAAATCTCATTAAAAAAATGAAAAAAAAAAATTAATTAAGAATAGGCCAGTCAGTAGGAAAAAAGGGGAAAAAATAATATATAGATGCAATAGGTAAAACAAGAGATGTAGGGAAAGGAACTTGAAGATTCTTTATTATCTTATAACAAGCGTAAAAAATAATTAGCAGAAATTGTAAGCAACTCTAGGAAAACGTATATAGATGCAATATGGTATAATACAAAAAAAAAAAAAAAAAAATAGGCCAGTTAATAGGAAAAAAAGTAATGATACATTATACATTCAACTTAGAAGCCGTGGATAAATGAACAATATAGATGTGGCAACAATCATATAAGCCTAATTAGATAAAGAACTCCAAAATCAACACCATTATATCCCCACAAAAAAAAGGCCCTTAAAAACACCTCAGCATCAGTATCTTTTGCAGACCAAAAGAGAAAGAGTAGTATAACCTAATCAACATAATCTCTCGAAACACCATCGCTAGAAGGGGAGGAAAATTTTTGAAGGTACGAAACCATATTATAAAAATTCAGGTAAGTTTGGCGATGAAAAAGAGTTCCATATTATTCACAAACCTAAAACAAAAAACAAAAAAAAATTGTAATCCAATACCCAAACTGAAGGGAAAAGGAAAAGGAAAAGGAAAAAAAATAAAAAGAAATCTCTCTAAGTATAAGCTTTAGGGGTGTGAAAAATTAGGGATTTTTGCTGTATGAGAACAATAGTTTTTCTATGAATTTGGAGATTCAATCACAGATGACAAATTAGGTAAAATCATGCGGTTCTCATTCTCTACAAAGACAAATTTTTATCAGACCTTTCCAAATAGTTCTTGAAAATATATAAATAAATGTGTTCACCTTCGCAATGTTGTGTGAGCCTAAGATGGTGGCGGTGGCTACCGTAGTTGTTGCGATCGAGATGTAGAGGAAGGGTCACTAAGGAGGAGGCGGAGGGAAGAGCAGCGACGGTGGTGAGGAGTGTGGGTGTCAATGAAAAGGAAGAAGCAAAGTTTCTGCTGTGGTGGTGGAGAAGTGAGAGAGAGAGAATATTATTATACATCCCAAACTTATTAAAAAAATAAATAAAGAACACTTATAATTTTGATATAAATAAAATAAACAACAATGATTCATCCCACTAAAAATATCATCACTAATAGCACTAATACATTAAAAAAATAAAAAAAAATACAACTCCAAGACCAAAACATCACATCATTAATAATAGGACCCACTGCCACCTAATTAGTGGGAGCACTAATTAGTGCTCCCAAGCATTTTTCTAAAATAAAATAATAGTACTCTTTTTAAGATTTGTAAATAGAAGATTCTTAGAATATTTATATTCAAATAGACTTGATATATATAAAGAAATATAAATAATTATATTGTATTTTTTTTATATAAACAAAGTAAAAATAATAGTGAAATTTTTTTCCTAAGCAACTGGATAATATAATGAAACTTTTCATCTTCTTTTATTTTTTAATGAGAAAATAAAAAGTATAATTAAATTAATACGCACAAAATACAAAAATACAAACCCTTCAAATACTTACAATCAAAGAGATTTATAAAATAAAATAAAATAACCATAGCCAAAACCAAGAAAAAACTATTTTTTTATAATTTTTTTAAAAAAAAAAACCTTAAAAGCACTGGACACTCAAAAAAAAGTTATGTAAACAAACAAATCAATTTTTTAAAAATAGAATTTATATATAAAAACAAAATAAAATTTATATATAAAAACAAACAAAAGCTTAAAAAGGTGAAATAGGAACAAAAAAAAAATTGAATATAATTTTTTTATAAAAAAAATAATATAAAAACATAAAAATACATAAAATAGAAAAATACAAACTCGACTCTTATAACACTTATAATCAAAGAAATTTTATAAAAAAATTAAACATTTTTTTATTTATTTTTTTAGTTATACCAAGAATGGTCCCTATTTAAAACCCAATGCGCCTCAGTCCTCTATGGTTTGATAAAGTTGAAAATGATACAAGCCCTCTATGGTTTGATAAAGTTGAAAATGATACAAAATTAAACACATTTTTAAATTAATTTAAGTTTTTAATGTAAGGTTGAAGAATCTATTAATATACACATTCATATAATGTAAGGCAAGAGTACCAACATATATCATCAATTCTTACATACATATATATTGATGGACCGTATACATGCATTAAAAAAATAAAATAAATAAATAAAAAAAGAAGCAAATTGGCATTGAGCAAGCCTCCATAGTAAGCGCCCTCAACAGGAGACTTGTTCTCAATTGCAAAGATGTCATCTTTGTATCACAATAACAATATAGTCTCCCCATCCTGAATTATCACGCGCCGCTCTCCCTTCGACAACGCTGCCACTAGCACCACCGGTACCCATTTTCTTCCCCTTCTCATCACTCACTCCACCTCCGCGGCCCTTGCCGTCGGCCACCGAGACTTCAGTAGCCTTACACGCAATTTTACGGAGAGAGATTGGGGATGAAATCAAAATTAATGGGTTTACTGGGTAGGCGGTTGGGTGGCGCAACGGCAGCAATAGCGGTAGTTTCCGGCAATGTGGCGACGAAGGGAGGAAAAGGACTCTGGAAATGAGCTTTAAGGATGCGGTGGCTAGGGGTGTGCGCGGTGCGGGTCGGTGCGGTTTGAGAGAAAAATAGAAACCGTATGGCGGGTAGCGGATTGATAAAAGTGTCACTAGAATTTGCCATTTTCCTTATCAAAAACCGGCGGTTTGGTTGGCAAATAATGGCGGATTTTCCTTGGCGGTTCGGGCGGATTGGCGGTTTATAAAAAATATAATTCAAATTACAAAACTTAAATAAAGAGTAAAAAAAAAGACGAGAGATACCGTGATGTTAAGCATCTTGCAAAGCTTTCTTCTGATGCAACAAATGTAGCAACAATATGATAATATCAACGACTATGCCATCAGTTCATTACAAGCATCTGTGGAAGCTACAATGATCAAATACAATACATAAAATTAATATCATTCAGTGTTTACAACATATGGAAAATGTTTACTGTTGAAAAGTATTTAGATTGAAAAGTGAGCTGATGTAAGTTTGCAACATGACCAGGAAAAAAAAGAGATTGAAAAGTGAATTGGAATCCAACTTTATTTTGGATTACTGATATCTTAAATTCCCCTCAAACAGTAATGTAATACTATATTCTAAGGTATAGAACAACAAGCAAACTTAAGTAAAAAAGAATTTTTAGAATCTTATAAAACATGATTTAATAGCTATCACGCGCCGCTCTCTCTTCGACAACGCTGCCACTAGCACCACCGGTACCCATTTTCTTCCCCTTCTCATCACTCACTCCACCTCCGCGGCCCTTGTCGTCGGCCACCGAGACTTCAGTAGCCTTACACGCAATTTTACGGAGAGAGATTGGGGATGAAATCAAAATTAATGGGTTTACTGGGTAGGCGGTTGGGTGGCGCAACGGCAGCAATAGCGGTAGTTTCCGGCAATGCGGCAACGAAGGGAGGAAAAGGACTCTGGAAATGAGCTTTAGGGATGCGGTGGCCATGGATTATTTGGGGGTGGTAGAGAGAGAAAGCTCTGAGCTAAGAAATGTGAGAACAAAGAGAAGAGAGAGAGAGAGAGAAAGAGAGAGGAAATTGTATTGGGTAGTTGATTAAGGAAGAAAGTGGGATATTTTTTATTTTTTTTTTCAAATCACATAAATTCCACGTGACAGCATTGGTAGAGGCTTCAAAAAAGTAGTATAGATGATGGATTGATCTTGACGGTTGTAACCAATTATAAATATAAACACTTTTAAAAATAGTGTTGTTTTATTATAGAAATATAAAAAAAAAATAAAAAAATATATATATCCAATCACATTTATATAAAAATTGTGATTAAAAAAAATATATAATCAAATTTATTTGGAAGGTAAGATTAAAAATAAATATTATCTCATTTGATTAGATTAACTGTGATTGAAATATCATTCTAATTTTTTTAATCACATTTCTACTAAAAGTGAGATTTTTTAATTCCTCATGTGCAATCTTTAAGCATTATTGTAGCAGTGAAAATACATATTTAACTCAAAAAATTTGAAAAATTATATATTTTTCAATTTAACTCCGATTAAAGCCTATTTTATATCAATAAAAAGCTTATGGAGACTACAATCTAAATATGAAAATTTCATTTACAAAAAACGAAATTTTTTTTTTTTTTTTTTGAGTACCAAAAAATCTGCTTTATGCAAAAAAATACATATTTAACTCAAAAAATTTGAAAAATCATATATTTTTCAATTTAACTCCGATTAAAACCTATTTTCTATCAATAAAAATCTTATGGAGAGTACAATCTAAATATGTCAATTTCATTTACAAAAATCGAAATTTAATTTCTGTTTTTGAGTACCAAAAAATCTGATGCATGCAAAAAAATACATATTTGACTCAAAAAATTTGAAAAATCATATATTTTTCAATTTAACTCCGATTAAAGCCTATTTTATATCAATAAAAAGCTTATGGAGAGTACAATCTAAATATGTCAATTTTATTTACAAAAAATGAAATTTTATTTTCTGTTTTTGAGTACCAAAAAATCTGCTGTATGTGCATTACCCAAAAAAAAAACTTTGAATATGCCATAATATAAAACAATATTAATGATACATCAATCTAATAGTATAAACACTAAACAAATCAATGTCATACTAATCAAGAGGCGAAAACAAGCAATAGGCGGAAAAGAGTTAGTAATATGCTGTGATAGAGAATCAACAACCTGGTCAATTTGAAGTGTGTGCTCTGGAGGAAAAATACGAAATAATAATCGGTGGAATAAACGGATTCAGACATAACTTTCACGTCCAAACCGAATCCATGGATCATGTGGGTAATCACATGCCTCTATTGATGTCTTCGAATAACTCCTAGTAGTAGAGTAGAACTACTAGCGAACTACCCACACTATTCATAATACAAAGGCGGAATGGTTTATGGGAAGAGAGAATGTATCATTTTTTTGTTGTATGAAATACAGAACCCAAGATCCGTTTATATAGAAGAGTTAAGAGACTCATAGGATAGACGTATTATCCCAGATAATATCTATCACATATCAATAATATCATATTAATAATTATTATCTAATATATTGACAATTATCCATATCAAGATTATCTCATATCTTGAAATATAATCTATTATTTTATTTGGATCTCTTCTAATCGGGTCATGCCACCGTGGGCGATCCAATTAGGTTTGGGTTCTAAACTCGACTCAATTTCCAACAGTTCCATAAGGGAAACTCTAGTAGCCTCTCTACTGACGTGAGTTTGCAACAAGAAGGACTCGTAATTCAAGCTTTCAAATCTTACTGTGTGAGTGTTTTTCCACCTAAGGTAACCTATATTTTTCTAACAGTAATATTAGAGCATTTTACTAACACAGCATATTAATAAACATTTTACTAAATAAATATCATCAATTAAACTACTAAAAGCGCAAAAATAGAGTTAGTAATATGCTGTGATAGAGAATCAGAAAATATCCTAGAAAAATAATTGGAAGCAGAAAATATAGCGATTCCGATTTTGACCCATTACTTATTGTATTCCGGACTCAGGCTGGTATGGTTTAGAATGGTTATCCATATCTTGTTTCACTTGCCTATCCTCTATCTTGCTTATCAGGTTGTATTTGTGTATTTGGAACAAGTTGGTTGCTTGTTTTTCCAAACCTGTGATGCCCAGATTTTGGCTCTTCCACTCGAGCAGGCATTCTTGCGCTCGAGCGGGCTTCACAACTTTTGCTCCTCCGCTCGATTGGCCATTCTTGAGCTCGAGCGGGATCATGTTTTCTTTTGCAGGTTTGCAAATACTGAGAGAGTGCATTGGACACTCAAGTGTCCAGTCCCACGCTCGAGCGGGGTCCTTCGTCTGCAAAACTTCTAAAAATGTGTATTTCATGCTAGAGCGTAACTTTCCACGCTCGAGTGGGCCTTTGTGTCTGACCCTCGAGCGTCATTTTCCACGCTCGAG